GAAGGTCTCAATAGGTACTTTTTCTCCCTATGCAATTCCAACTTTTTCTTCCTAAGCCAGTCCAACTTTTTATCCCTAAGCCATTCTAAAGCCCCCCCCCCCCCCCAAATATCCACATTTCTTAAAAGAGAGAAATGAGGAGAGAAGGAAAGTGCAGAGGTCAGACTGTTGTAACGTAATTGTTTGACCTAAAAAGAAACCGGAAACACCATCAGTAGTCTGGGAGCACATCCCCAATGGAAACAGGAGTCATACGCTTTTCAAGAATGCTATCCTACTTTCTATTTCTACTTCCTAAGAGAGTTAAATAAACCTCTCAAACAGTATGAAAGGTGGAACTCAGGGCAGAGAGCCAAATAGACAATTAAAAATTCTTTCACGCCATTTCCTTGCTCCAGTAGGCAATTTTGCTGGATCCTGGTCTGTCCATGGCCCCCGCCCCGCCCCATGAAAACATGAAAATATAAATTCTGAATCTAATCCTATATATGTAGAGAAAGTCTTATTTTTCCTTCAGTCTTTTGATAGAAAAAAAGATTTACTTTACTTGGGCTCTGGACATAAATTAATGACAGCAGAAAAGCTGTAGCTGTAATAGGTACATGCATTTCATGACCAAGTAAAACCATTAATGCTTTGTGCCTTGCAGAAAAACAGCAAATATAGAACACAACTCTGCTTCATGTAGCTTATAGCAGTACATGTTTAAAAAACTGAAAGGGCAGTAGGTTAAGCAGTTTTATAATGGCTTCAAATTGTAGGCCATTGTGTATATTGCATGCAATGCCCCATGTGCTCTGTGACAAGCCTGACCTCATTCCAGTAGCAGACTAAAAATACTGTAGTTGTTTAAGAGAAGAACAATATATTACTAATATGTTTACACACACACAAACAGCTGATATAACTCCAGAATGAAAATGTTATACATTCCACATTAAGATAATGTGGTAACAACAACAGCTATCACCATCACTACCACCAAACCCAAAGGATGTTTGCCAATGGCTTCACTTCATCCTAGAAAGAAGCAACTAGTAGGGTGCTTTAGGATAAGTATACATTTTTATTAAATCCCTTCCCTGTTTCGTTCTGTCATAAGTTTCTCACTCCTAGGGTCAACAGTAACAGTTTTCTGTTAATCCTATGGACTGCTCTGATAACTAACAATTTAAGTAGAAAATCAATTAATGCAACATCATAACTACTTTAATCATAACGGCCAGGACTGACAAGGTGATATGCAGCCTTTGTGTCCAAACTTCTGAAAAAGCCTTAATAGAATATTTTTCTTACAGCAGTGTTGTTTGTTTATATTATTAAGGAGTAAGAAACAGTGAGATATTTTAGCTTTCAAAAGACACTAAAGGAGGTACATCACTATTTGTTAGTTTTAGTTCAAGTTTATCAAAATCAAGTATTGTTTAACAATGATGCCTGCCATGTTACTCAACTACTGGTGACTCCCTGCCCTCCTCCCCCCCCCTCTCTCTCACACCACACACACATTATAGAAATTATTTCCTGTCACCTAATATTTGGAAGCTCAGATCAGCTAGAGTGAAAAAGGGATACTGACTAAATTAACTTCCTGTTTTCTTGCTTCTTTTCTAGGCAGATCTTGGACTCTGATTATGCCTATGGCTATACTGGAACACAGCCTACCATCATACTTACCGTATATTCCGGGGTACAAGACGACTTTCTAAGCCTGGAAAATCATCTCAAAAGTGGGGAGTCGTCTTGTACCCCGGCACAAATTTTTTTGGATTATTTTCCCTCGTGTCCCTCGCCCTTGGCGTCCCCGCGTGGAGCCTGAGGAGGAGGGAGGGTCGGATGGAGGGAGGAGAGGGGAGGTGGAGAGGGAGGGTAGGGAGGGGGGTGCGTAGGAGAGAGCAGGCGGCTAGGCTTCGCTGACCCGCAGCTGGCTTAGCATGTAGTAGCCTAATGGGCTGTCGTCATCCCTCATCTGGCGGCATTATTCAAGTGGGCTGTCTGGGCCAAGATTAAGGCTTCCGCCTCTAAATCGGCGCTAGATAACAGGAGCCAAGCGGAGGGTGGGGGTGGGGGTCCAGCTCTGGCTACCCGGCGCATCGGCCACAGTCCGTCTACTCGTAGGGGTGGGCCTGCCTGGCGTGCGTCCCGTTCCCAGCCCTTGGCGTGCCCCCGCGAGGAGGCTTCAAACTTCGCTGTCTGCTATTTATAGCGTCATGGCAGGTCCTAAGGGGGGGGTGTTTGCGCTATGTGCTGTGGCTGTCGCCTCTCGCCAGTGAGAGGAGGAAAAGAAGGGTTGGTGTGTGCTAGGGGTTTTTTTTGGTCTGGCCTGCTGCTTGAAGCGCTCTGCCTCTTGCTCTGCAAAGTCGATAGAGCAAGCTGCCAAAGGTAAAAGGAGGGGGGAACCAAAACCGGGAGCGGGGGAGTGGCTAGTGGGGAGAAGAGGTCAACCCCGGCCCTCTCGGCCAGGTCTGGCCGCTGTGCCCGACACTCGCGGGTTTGTGGTTCGCGTGTCCGGCAGTGGGCTACTGGCTTTGAGGCCTAGAGGCAGAGCTTAGGCGAGCGATGAGCCAGAGAGCGGAGGATATCAGCAGCAATGGGCAAGACGACTCCCGGGGTCTCGCGTGCTCTAGGCCTGGGGTAATGAGGCTGAGGCAGGAGTTGGAAGCTAGGAGTGGGATTCAAAGAATGTTGTTAGTTAGGGGGCGGGGAGGTTACAGCCTCCGCCCTCTATCCCAGAACAGGAGCCAAAGCCGGAGGGGTGGGGGTGGGGCCTCTGGCTACTCCGGCCCCACCCCCCGCGGAGGGTGCCGCCCCCGGTCCCAACCCCCCGCGGAGGCTTCAACTCCTGCTGCTTTACCAGGCCGGCGGGGGTGTTTGCATGCTGTGCTGTCCCCTCCGCCACTGGCCTGCTGCTAGCTCTGCCTCTGGCCTCAAAGCCAGAGCAACTGCCGAGGGAACCAAAACCGGAGCGGGGAGGCAGTGGGAGAAGAGGACCCCGCCCCTCGCGGCCCCGCCCCACACTCCGGGTTTGGTTCCCCCGGCAGTTGCTCTGGCTTTGAGGCCAGAGGCAGAGCTAGCAGCAGACCAGGGGCGGAGGGGATAGCACAGCATGCAAACACCCCCGCCGGCCCGGTAAAGCAGCAGGAGTTGAAGCTGGAGCGCGGGGGTGGGACTAGGGGGCGGGGCCCTCTGCGAGGGCGGGGCGGAGCAGCCAGAGGCCCCACCCCCGCCCCGCCCCTCTGGCTTTGGCTCCCTCCTGCAGCAGCTGTTCTGAGATGGAGGGCGGAGGCGGAGCCAACTCCATGCCGGCGAGGGTGAAGACAGCCCAGTAGGCTACCATGCTGCCAGATTGGTAGCAAAGGCTGCCGCTCCTCCTCCTCGCCCCCTCCCTCCCTGCACCCTCCCTATGACTTCCTCTCACATATTTACACAGGGTCTCATCATGTCTCCTCTCAGCCTTCTCTTCTAAAGACTAAACATACCCAGCTCTTTAAGCCACTCCTCATAGGGCTTGTTCTCCAGACCCTTGATCTGCTCTCTCCTCCCTATGACTTCCTCTCACATATTTATACATGGCTCTCATCATGTCTCCTCTCAGCCTTCTCTTCTTCAGGCTAAACATGCCCAGCTCTTTAAGCCACTCCTCATAGGGCTTGTTCTCCAGACCCTTGATCTGCTCTCTCCTCCCTATGCTTCTTCTCACATATTTATACATGGCTCTCATCATGTATCCTCTCAGCCTTCTCTTCTCTAAACATGCCTAGCTCTTTAAGCCACTGCCAACATACATGTAATCTGAACCATTTAAAGCCTGCTTTCATACTTGCCAGCATGATGTAAAGGACCCAGAGTGTAAATGAAATTCAAGGGAGGAAGAGCAACTATAATGTCCAATGTAAGGTACAATGTCCCTCTCATAGGAACCTGCACGTCAGAAGCATTTGAATTAAAATTACCATATTGAAGTCAAATCTGATTTTTTAAAAATTTATTTGGTGTGCATTGGAAGAGGGGTGGTCTTATACGGCGAGTATATCCCAAACTCTATATTTTAACTGGAAAAGTTGGGGGGTCGTCTTATATGCCCAGTCGTCTTATATGCCGGAATATACGGTACCTGAACTAAGAGCAACATAATATCTCCAAAATAGCATTTTTCTTGTTTGCATTCCTTAAGTGCTAGCATATTGAGTCACCCTTTTACCTCTCTTGAACTTAGTTATTTTATAAATAAGAGCCGCTTTTTAAAATAAATGTGGTCTTGTTCACTCTAGCAGCTTTAAAAATAAATGTTTAACAAAAGCTCTGAAGTTGGTAGTATTTTAAATATTGAATATTTAAATACATTTAAACATCCTGGCTTATATATACTTCAGAGAACATAATTTCTTTTAAATTCTAGAGTAATCTCTTAGATTACTACAAGTTTCACCCAAACACCAAAAGCTAGTTCTAGAAGGTTCCAACTAGTTCTGTGTAGGCTCTAGATATGTAAGTAAAAGACCATGGAAAAGAACGTTAATTCTCCTAAATTTCAGAGTAATCTCTACAATATTCAAGAATGCCCTTTTTATTTTTTATGCTACTGTCAACTATTACTAGCAAAGGCAGAACAAAGAAGTGTTTTAACAACTATCCTACCATTAAGATTTCTCCTCCAGAAGACTCAGCAAAGTACAAGCCTAATTTCTCAGGGTTAAAGTCAAAACATTCAGTTTCTGGCAATCCAAATTTCACTCCCACTCCACAATGCCTATGAATGTCTTTCATGATCTGAAGACATAACACAAATCTAGCTACACTATTATAAAATGATTTATACATTTGCTTATGATATGCTCCTTTTCCATTACTTTAACACCTCTAAAGAACTTTTAAAGGTTATTAATTTGAGAGAAGTACACATACATAAGCACTATTTAAATTCAGCTATAAAAGACACTATTCATGTCCCATTCATATAGAAATCAATATATATCAAAAGACATTTGATTTGGATTTACCTGCTGGGCCTGGTACCTCTGCTGGGCCTGCGACAGATACTGAGCCTGAGGAGGCAAGTGCTGAGGTTGTGGTTGTTGGTTGTAATATGGCTGTTGGCAGTAACCAGTTACACCTGGTGGGCCATACTGGGGTGGCATCTGTTAGTGGAGGAAAGACAGAACAGACATGAAATGAGAAGAAAAAAACAATCAACATCTACAATTCTACTCCTACTCCCAGTGACATAGAAGAGTAAGAAGTCTTAACTGAAAGTATCTATTTTTGTTAAAATAAAAGTTAAAAACATATATTTTGTTAAATAAAACTACAGAAATTAACTTCTTCAACACTTATTCTACCAAATAAGAAAAGACTAAAACATGGAAGCAACCAATTATCATCAGTGCAAATCCTATAACCCCTATAGTAAGGTTTAGAGTAGAATTTACTGGCCTTCTAAACAATCACTCATTCAGACACTAACACCATTTGAATATGTTCCATTTCAAGGAAAGTGTATAAAGATATTGTAATACCACTATGCAAAGGAATATTGTAGCACCTCATAGACTGAGAACGAAGTTGGTAGCATATTGTTTTGTAGACTAAATATACTTCCTTATGCATTTGAGGAAATAGGTTTTGTCTACAAAAAGCTTATGCTACCAACTGTATTCACTGAGTTATTTCTAAAGTGCTACAAGTTCCCTTTTTAAAGAAAGAATGCCATCATTTCACCATTAGATTCAGCAAGCTATTTCCCACAGAGGAAGATTATGCATATTTCCATTCCTTTCTGTCTTGGAGCCATTGCCTAAATGTCCTTGCAGGAGTCAGGACCACAAGCCTCTCTTCCTTGGAGACATATAATGTATTTGAAAAGGATCTCCTTAAATCACAAGCTGATACAGAGAAGTGTATTACTACAAATATTAGTTTGTCCACGCTGCTTGAGACTTGAAAGGAAAATGCCAGTACCTTGACTTGGGCTTAGAAACAAGTAAATATAGTTGGTATAATATGATTCTGCCAGTCTACATCAATTAAAATTCTGGCCCCTGAATTCTTCTGTAGCTGAAGTTTCTGTGTCATTTCATGGCAGATTATTATACAAAACATTACTTTAATCCATTCAAAAGGTTACCAGACCGTCAACGGCTGTCCCTGTCCAAGAACGTTTGCAGCTCATAGCCCAGCCAAAGCTGGTAAAATACATTCCTGGGAGGGAAAAAGCACTCCCAAAAGCTGTTGGAAGATTAAAGAGATGCAATAAAGCTGTCAAGTCTATATTTAAAAATTCTAAGCTGAGGTGGACTGTACATAATGAGGATAGCCGGCAGACAGAAGTTTTGGTAAAGTGAAATGCCTATAAATACATTGTTAAATAAGATAACCACTCCCAAGGAAGAAATAAATATGTTTACAAACAGTACAGGGGTAGCAGAATGGGATTAATAGCAAAAGGCCAGAGGAGTGTTTGGGGTGGACAAACCTTCACACCATCCCTAATGGCTATAGCTGCCCTCTTATTTCTTTCCCAACAAATGACATTTACCAAAACATTCCATTAAAAAAACAATGTATATAGCTAGACTGCAATTTGTCAAGGAGTGAGGAGAGCATGGTTTTTAATTTTCAAGCATCTCCAACACCTAAATACCCTGAATTTATAATTGTAAAAGTTCCTCTGCATCTTCTAGAGACCACGGGGAACATATTGCCATATTTTAGTCTCCTAAACTTATTTTAAGCCAACTGGGCTTTTTGATCAGAGCTGAAAGTGTCTGGAATAAAGTATGTAGTTTTGATGCATGTATAATTTTCAATGTAACATTTCTGCATAACATAAAAGGTTGCTAAATTAACCTGACTGTTGTGTTTGTAGGTGATCCAGCTATGCAACCTATGCAATACACAGGTATCATTTCTGCAGAGAGCTGTAAGAAAAGTACTTCAATTTTTCACGTCAACGTATTCTTGATGTACTGAGATTTTGAATAACTTTGCTAGTCTTCACAGTGAGAGCCAAATAAATAAGTCTACTACAACAAAACAGTCAATCATTTCTAAGGAAATGTAATCTCTCCTTCCATGAAAACACAACACAATTTCATTGCTACAAATGGATAAAAACTATCTGCCACCAACACTAGATGTCATTATAAATTGTCTCTTTTTGTGATGGAAAATAAATTCAATACATTGGTATACTTTACCCAATAGTTTACACAGCTTTGGAAGTAACTCTGAACTATGACCCTCAAGATGGCTCATTTCATCTGGGAGTAAAATTAATGCTTTCAATATTCTCTATAATTAGAAATAAATAACAAGTTGAGCCTCCCTTTTCCTGAAATCCAAAAGATCCCATGAACCAAAACTGTCCCTTCTGCCGTTAAAGAAAGGGGTCTAGCTACACATCCGGTGCCTGCTGAGTATTATTCACGGACCTCTCACTCCACTGCTGTGAGAAATTGGATGGGAAAAGGCAGCGGAGAAGAGGATTGCAGGTCCTGGGGAAGGACTTACACAACTCCTCTGTACAAAGCAGGTGTCAGAAGAGAGCATATCCAGCTAATGTAGGCTTAGGGAAAATTGGAAAGTTCCAATTTTCCCTGACCAATCCACACTGTGCTCTCCTTCATCCTCGTCAGTGGGAAAAGCAGATTAGAAATGGGGGCAAAGGGGGAGAGCAGTGGCTCAGGCAGCCAGAGTTTTCCAACATTACCAAGCCCATGAGAGTCAGATGCCAAACATGAACCCATAGAATGTAAATGGGAGTGGCAATAGCAGCAAGAAAAGGGGTCTGAACTATAAAATTCTGGGCTGCAAAAGTCACAAAAGTGAATAGAAGTCCGTTTCCAGTGTTTACTTCTGAATTGTTTAATTGTTTTGTACTGTTTTCAGTAGTTTGGGGTGACATTGGGGCTGTCAGTGCAATGTTTATAGAGGAATGTGCCACTTCAGAGCACTTTTTGATATGATTTCCTATTTTTAGGAAGCCTGAGGATTTGGGACCCTTAGGGCCAATAAAAAAGGATATGAGCCACATGCAACTCATGAGTTACAATTTCCTCATATTTGAAAATACAGTGAACTCTTAGAATCTGCTTGGTTTGGTTCAGAGAATCCCATATGGGTACCAAAATCCGTGGATGCTCAAGTCCCATTATAAACATACAATGGAGTATTAAAATGATATTTCGTATATAAAATGGCAAGATCAGGGTTTTTGGGAGGTTTTCTGGATATTTAAAAATATTTTCAAGCCATGGATGGTTGAATTCATGGATGAAGAATCAATGGATACCGAGATGGACAAGCTGTCCAATGACATTAGAGGAAGAAATAATGAAGACTTCATAAGAAAATGGAGGCTCATATTTTGAAAGGGAGACAAGGTAGACTTCAGAATAGCAAGAGGAAGTTATTAACCTAAAGATAAGGGTAGATCCTAATGAGATATTAGTTTCACACTGAGTGGTGTCGGGAGTCATGGGTGGTGGTTCACAGGTGGGGGGAGGGGGTAGATGTATTTTTTATTATGTGTATTTGATGTATTTCTTTTATTTTCTTTTACATTCTGTATATCACCTTTACACAATAAAAAAAGAACCAATGGATCTATAGGGCTGGCAGTACAAAGGAGTTCATTTAAAATGAGCCATCTTAAGGGATCATTTAAGCATACTATTCTCAGTTTATGAACATAAAATGATCTGCTTTTTAACAATGTGAAAAGTTTAAAAAATTGATTTTCCCCCCATCATCCAAATGCAGTTGATTTCTCCCTCATCTTGCATACAAAATGTTCATCTTTTTTGTGGTTTCCCCTTCTAATTCATGAATTGGTTAAGCATTTGGAATATGCACTTATACTCAAAATAAAAGGTTTTGCTCTAAATTACAGCCCATGTTGAACTCACTTATAAGTGTATACAAAAATTAACACACAAGTGTATAATTGTAGTTTTATGTTCAAGTGCCCCAATTATGCACTTTAAAGCACATTCAGAGGAGCGATTTAAGGCATTCAATATCTCAAATCCATAAAGTCTCCAGAGTACTTTCTGACAAGACAGCTGCATAAAAAATACTACTGCAAGCACAAAACAAACAGCATTATAAAAGTTCAATTCAAACAAATATGAAACTGAAGGAAAGGATGATTCCCAATATTCTCAAGTAAGACTCTAGGCCCACAGGAAGTACAGATAGAAGGCTCACTCACAAACCCAAAGTATTTAAAGGCATCAATTGCTCTTTCTAAAAATCTTATGGGTACTGATAATTGCCATTTGGAAACACTATTACTTTCAATATAAACAATATACCAGATCCTTCAAATCTTCTTTACTTTCTCTAGTAAATTATTCAATCTTTCTAAATACTACAATGTTATTCCCCATAGTAACCTATGGATGCAAGAGCTGGATCATAAGGAAGGCAGAGCGAAGGAAGATTGACGCTTTTGAACTGTGGTGCTGGAGGAAAATTCTGAGAATGCCTTGGACCACAAGAAGATCAAACCAATACTCCAGGAAATAAAGCCCGACTGCTCGCTGAGGGAAGGTTATTAGAGGCAAAGATGAAGTACTTTGGCCAAATAATGAGAGGACAGGAAAGCTTGGAGAAGATAATGATTCTGGGGAAAATGGAAGGAAAAAGAAAGAGGGGCCAACCAAGGGCATCCTTGAAGTGATTGGCTTCACTTTGAAGGAGCTGGGGGTGGCCACCGATGACAGGGAGCTCTGGCGTGGGCTGGTCCATGAGGTCACAAACAGTTCGAAGACACTGAACGAATAAATAACAAACACCAGAAATACAATGAAAGTAACAACGTTTTAAGAAACAATCCCTTGATATACCAAATTTTCACATTATGGAAATATTTAAAACGAACTCCTCTAGAAACATTTTCTAGGACAATGGTTCTCAACTTGATTGAAGGCCAAAACATCTGGGGACCCATAGGTTGAGAACCACTCTTCTAGGAGTAGCCGATCTGTGCCATGGATCTGATCAAAGATGCAGATAACAATTTCAAGGAGAATGTTGTTATCTCCATAAGTTATACATTAGTTAAGGCACAGCAATATAGGAGATGAGGCAAAGGAATTCATGGTCCTCCAATTCGTCTGAAGTCACTTCTGGAGAG